CAGCGCATCTTTTTTTCTCTCTCTCTCTCTCTTTCTCCCCCTTCCCCCCCCCCCCCCCCCCCCCCCCCCCCCAACGCCCCCTTTTCCCTCTCCACTGCAGACCTATGCCCCACCTGGTCACGTTAATCTGTCTGTGTAAACACTTTCATTTGGAACCCCTCGCATCCAGCTGTGGTCCAACACCGTCTCTGCTCAGTTTTCTTCCATTCCGCTCGGTTATGTTGTTCTCTTTCTCTGCTGCTCGCCTCCAGCTGCAGCTGCCATGAGCAGACCGTCAGTCCCTCCACTGTCCCACGCCGACGTAATTTATCCCCCCCACCTCTTTCCTACTCTCTTACACACAATCACACACACACACACAGAGAGAAAGAGAGAGAGAGAGACACTCGGCACCTACCACCCAGCTTGGTTGCCATCTAGCGTCTCCTTTTAGGCTCCCAAAACAGTTTCTGTCGGAGGACTGCGTGACGCAGAATCATCACGGTGACACTTCGGAATGATTCTTTTGTCGGGAATCTTGCCGCTTGAAAGGAATGCATGCTGCAAAGGGTTTCCCTACAAGCCTACGTCCCTTTTCATTGAAGAAACGTCACAAGTGCAACTAAAAGCGAGCGAGAACAGACCACAGAGTGTCAAAACAAAAATCATAATACTTTGACATGCCAGACGTGTGCGTGCCTCTGGCTGTATGCAACACGTTTAGTTTGGTTGTATGAATGCACCGTAAAGCTTCACCCGAATTTCTTTTATCTACATCAGGTTTTCCTCTAGGATTTTTGTGCGTTCGCCCTTTTCCACCTCTCATCAACTCTGCTTGCCTGTCATTTGCTGCCCACAGTACGAATCCCCTCACAATGCTGCTGCCCCCACCATGTTTCCTCATACTTGTGTATTTGTGTTTCTGTTGTCAAATTATTATGCCGCAGATCCTCCAGCATTGTCATGAGACTTTTGGTTGATTCTCTGATTAATGCTCTCTACTTGTACGCCATGGTGTTGGTGGAGTTAAGGTTGTGGCGTACTGTGTCTGATTTTTGAAAAATGGACTGAACAGTTCTCCACCAGCAGTTCAAAGGTTGGGGGAGTTGTTTTATTGCTTTTAAATGTCTCCACAAATGCATCCATGACATGTCTGCTGTGTTACTTGGTTATTCTGATGCTGCTTGTTGATTAATGTTCACTGAAAAACCTTAAAAAAATAAAATAAAATAAAAAAATCCACTGTATTTACAATGAGAATAAAACACACTCTAGTAAACTCCATTTATTAATAAAGTAATTATTAATAAAATGACTAGTGAAGTCTGTTGTTGCACTAGATTTTATACAGGGGTTATCAAAGCAACAGAGACTGAGCATAAGGCTTGTTTGGAAACTTGCATTTTTTTATGCATGTTGCTTTGTTTCTCAGTCTAAAGGTAAATTTATATTTTATCTAATCAGAGACTATGCATTCTGATTTGTTGAGCTTTTTTCTTTTTCTCCTATCTTCAGCTTTTCCTGAGTAGTGCAGGGGTGAGCAAAGAGGTTGTAAGTCTGTGATTAGACTGTGCCCACAGAGCTGCCATGAAGGGTCATATAAAGCATGAGACTGATTGGTTCATTCCCGCTTCAGCCTCGCTGCAGCTCCACTGTGCTCTGCTCAGCAGGCTCTGCTCTGCCTGTTTGAGTGTGATGGGAGCTGTCCGGTGCTGAACCCTGACAGCTCTCCGTGTTTTCCATAGATCCTCGTTAAAATTGTACTCGAGTTTCGTTTTAACCAGCAGGGCTTTGACTATTGATAACTTGGTTGATAATACGATAAACTACAA